GCCTACTCACCCCAGGCTTTAGCAGCCCCTTGGTATCTCTTAGGCCTTGCAGGCTAGAGTAGGACAGTTCTGCCACCCCCGTTGTCTGTCTGGCACTGTGACCCCCTGAGGGTGCTCTTCCCTTGCTGGCGAAGGGGCTGGGGTGAGGGGAGCCTCCATGCCCCATTGTTCCTGGTGCCTGGTGCTTTGGTGGGCTTTAGAGTAAGAGTGTCACTTCAGGGCCTGTTTCCTGATGCCAGGCTAACTGAGACCCTCCCCCACCTTGCTGCTTCCTCAGAGGGACACTTGATTGTCACTAGGGACCCCTCTCCTGAGCATTTAGTGGTCTTACGGACATGCCCAGTCCTTGGAGCAGTACAGGTCTGGTCAGACATCTATCCAGAGATGAGTTGGCCATGGCCTTCAACGAACCCCATCTCAGAAGTACCCTGACTCACTTGTAGGCAGCTGTGCCCTGATGGCAGGCAGACACCCTCTCATGTGTTTTCTTTCCGTTCTGTTTGGTTGTCAGTGCTTCTAGGCGGCACCCACTCAGTTGATGTCAAGACCTACAGTTTGAAGGGCCCTGGTCTAGACAGCCCGGGTGCTCGCAGACATCACAAGACACTGGTCGCCAAAAAAGTGAAATACAGCATGTGCTGTGCGCATGACATTGACTGCCTGCCTCCCCTCACCCACAGCGGCACTGCCCTGCTGCCCAGCCCTTGGCCCACAATACTTTAGGAACAGCAGGCAAGCTGCAGCATGGTGCTCTTCCCGGGGCCTCCACCTGACGCTGGTCTTCTGCATCCCGCCCTGACCTCCGTAAAATGGCTGTATTGATTCTCTCCAGACTTGGGAGGCCCCAGCGCATGGTTGCTCTCGTCAGCGAATGCACCAGGGACTGCTGGCTCTGGGGCTTGGGGACAGGAAGCTGCTGTTGGCGTGGGCTGCTTGCGTGAGCACTGTTCCTGTCTGCCCAGGCCCCATAGGAACAGCTGTCCTAAAGCTGGGTAAAGTGGGACGGACATGCCCAGAAAGGCCCTGGGGAGAGGTTCACCTGGCGTGTCAGCCCATGGCCCTAGGGAGCCTCTGGCACCCCAAAGGATAACCTTTGCCCCTGTTGGCCACAGCTGGAGGCTGGCACTGCACAGAAAGTGTGACTGGGAACTGGGCGCAGCCTGTGCCCCAGGGAGGCCAGCACTCACCACTCTGTCATCAGGGTCAGCCCACTGCAGCAGACACATGGAAAAGAGACTCAGTTGCCTTCCTTTTTCTCTCCCATTGAGTTTCTAGGGGGAATTGAGAGCTTCCTCCAGCTCCAAACCTCACAGCCTGACCTGGGATGCAGTCCTATTTTAAAGGTGGGAAAACTGAGGTCTTAGGGTCTGCCCTGTCCCTAAGGTTCTGCACACACACGGGTGTAAGATGTCAGTCTTCAGAGAAAAGCAGCTAAGAGCTGTGCGGCACACTGAGAGATGAAGGTGAAGCTCCATGCTGCAGAGTGGCTCTTGCTGAACGTTGCAGCACTTCCTTCAGACGCCTTCTGCCTGCGGGCTGGCCAGGCCCTGCGGAGTGGGGTCTGGAGAGGGACCCAGGAGGGTCTGGGTGGGCCAATGGTGGCAGGTAGCCCAGGCCTGGAGCTGCCCAGGAAGAGCCAGCGGAAGACACAACCTCTCATGGCAGCCAGAAGCGCAGCTATAGGAACACATGTGGGGAAGGAGACGCCAGCGTATTGCTGGGAGATGTGTAATCTCTCCCCAGATGTCTCAGATTATTACACAGATTCACTGGGCCAATGATAGTAGTGTCCCTGGTGGGTGTCCCCAGGCAGCCGGGAAGGAGGCATCCTGCGTTCTCAATTGAGCCAAGTATGAGCAAATTCCATTGTCATTTTGCATTCAGAGTATGGATGAAGTGAACAGAGGAGTTGGAAGGAGATGATTTATAAAAGAGATGGCTTTTATCCCTGGATTCCAGAATGGCTTGAATCTGAATCGCTTAGCATGTAGAAACTCTGAGGGAGATTAAAAAAAAAAAAAAAAGGCAGAAAAAGATAGGGAACTGAGAACACAAAAATAGACTCTAGCCCCGTGCCCGAGTACTGCTGGGCAGGATGGAGCTGGCTGGCGGGTGTATACTTCCTTTTCCAGAAAGTGGATGATTTAAAACAAAAAAATACAGTTGAAGTCTTCTAGAAGCTGGAAGATAAAGCCAGGCTGGCTGAAGAAGTCCAAAAGCCTTCCATCCCACGCTCTTTCTGTTTTATTGAAGAGGGCTGGGAAGACTTGGTTCAGAGTCTGGTTTGCCCTGAAGAGTCTTATTTTTTACTGTTCTAGATGATTCCAGTATTTGGTGTGTTCTTGTGGGCTTCCTGATTTTTTAAATAGTTCAATTTCTGTTTTTCTTTTAGATCAACACAGTCCAATAGAACTTTTTGCCCCAGAGGGCTGCTGCAGGTCACCCTCTGATGTGGCACTCCCAGGAATCTGTGTCCCCCACACTCCTGGCTCTGTCCTGTCTGCCCAGTCCATTCTTGGATATTCTAAACCAACAAACCGCAAACCATTTTCCTCTGTTGACTCCAGGGAGCCCAAATGAAAACACTTGCTTTCCCCAGGCAAAACTAGGCCGGGGCCCCATGCAGCTCCATCCCCACTGCTGCCCGAACGCTGGCCCCAGGAGGACACAAACCTGCAGCCAACTGTCGCGGTCCCATTTTAAAGGTGGGAAAACTGAGGTCTTAAAGTCTGAACGCTGGAGCCAGGAGAAGAGAGCTCATTGCAGGGCTGGGCACTGAGTTGTGACTCAGGGCTTTTTGTACCAGTGTTAATAGGCTCAATTTCCCTACAGTTGAGGGCCCAAGTGTGCCCCACGCAGGAGTAATCCTACAGGCAACTGCTGGCCCCTACTGCCTTTGCATCTGCAGCCTCCTGGGGAGCCGGCGCCTGGGTGTGTCTGCTCCAGTGTCTCTGGTTCCTTGCAAGTCAGCCTCAAGTGAGGCCCAGGTCCCCCTAGGTCTGCTCCAGGCAGGGTTCCCCCTGAGACTTTGACCCAACCCCAAGTTCTCTGTCATGCGAGTGGGGGCTCTGCTGTACCCCCTGAGAGTCACCTGAGTTGTTACCTGGGCTTCCTGCACTGTTGACTCTATTTATGGTGTTTTGCAATCAGAAAAGGCAGGAGATTCAAACGTGCCCATCTGAGGACTTTGGACTCCAGCAAAGCATCCAGGGATCCTGTGCATTCAGGCTTTTCCTTTAAATCTGCTTCTGTAGGGTAGCAGTCCCTTGCTTCACACATGAGCCCAGGGTCCCCCGCTCTGTTCTCTCCCACCCAAAGACCAGCACACAGGCAGCTTCTGGAATGTTTGTGGTTACCACTACAGTTGGATTTGGGTGAGAGGCCCTTGTAAAGGAAGCCACAGCGGTGCCCCACGCTCCAGTTTGCCAGGATTTGTGCTGCTGTAGATGGACCCCCACAGGAATCCCAGGATGGAGCCAGACACCGAGCAGAACTGGACTTGGCCAGTGCAAAAGGGCAGCTCCCACCTTCTCAGCTGGCCTGCCCCTGTGGTCACCTGGCCTTGAACACACCAGCAAGAAACCAAGCCAGGGGCTAGATCTATGTTCCTCAGCCAGTTTCATGAGGATCGTTGTGACTCTGCCGTGACCTCAAGAAGGAGCTAATGGCCTCCACTGTTGCCAGCAGCTTCTAAAGCTGAGGTGGGATGGGGAGAAGGAGGTGAACCATCTGTGTACCCCTTTGCTTCTACCCAGGCTCCTCCTGGCCCACTGGGTGACCCCATACCATGGGGGCCCTTCTGGACCCTCCTGGAAGCCAGACCTGGACCCAACGTGTGCAGACATGTTCTGTCTGGCTCTTGGTCACAGGGTGAGCAGGGCAGGATTCTCATCGGCCCTCCCCATGGCCCTTTATGAAGCAGGGGCTGTCCCTGCTCCTTCCAGGCCCTGCTGGGTCAGGGGCCCCAACATGATGTCCAGTAGGGCAGCTCCACTGCAAACTCCTGATTGATGGAGCAGATCTGGCCATCTGTCACACTGCTGCCCCCTGGCTCCTGGGCCTCTCCTGTCTTCCCCTACTGTGTGCCCTCCTTGTGCCCTGCTCAGCCACCTGGAGATGCCAGGGTCGCAGGCAGCAGCCATGTCCATTCAGCCCCAGGAAAGCCCTGCTGGATATGAGGCCATCCTCTTGACATTCCCTTCCTATCCCTCCCTCAGGCCCTGGCAGGACAAATCTGTCACACCTCAGTGGGGAGATAGTGTTGGGCACCGTCCTCTGGGCAGGGGATCCTTGAGCTGGAGCACAGCCAGAGGTACCAGCCATCTGCCAAGTGTTCACCCAGATGCACATTTAGGGAAGCAGGTGACATGGCCCCACGTCGCATTCTCTTGAAGACAGTGTGTCCTGTGTCCATCCCCAGGCTCCTTCCTTCTCCCTTCCTTGCTGAGTAAAGGGCAGACCTAGGGGATCTGTTGACAGGTTCATATGGAGTCAGGTGGCAGGTAGGGGCCTGGGGACGTGTCTGTCTGTCTCAGTTCTCCAAGTGAGTCCCCACAGGGGCTAGGCTGTGGAGGGAAGCCCCGCTCTCCTCGGCCTGCCCTGCTGAGGCTGAGCCCTGTGCCACTCTCTTTGCTGGGGATAGAGGTCTGGGTTCCTCTGCTACTCATGCTCTTCCGAGGAACGCCAGGTTGGAGCTGCCTACGCTGGTCACCTTCTCAAGGTGGGGTGGTCACAATACCCTCCTGCATCCGGGCCAAAGGAAGCCATCCTTGAGTCCCGTACATGGGAAGGGAGCAAGGAGGCACCCTGAGTGCCCGCTCACCTCACACCCTCCTCTCCCTACAGCCTGTTCGACATGGGAGGTGAGTATTACTGCTTCGCCTCGGACATCACCTGCTCCTTTCCAGCCAATGGCAAGTTCACCGAGGACCAGAAGGCCATCTACGAGGCGGTGCTGCGGAGCTGCCGTGCTGTCATGAGCACTATGAAGCCAGGTGAGGGGGGGGGAGTGGGGCCAGCTGAGGAGGACTCCCTGGCATGGGGAGGGGGCAGCCTTGTGACAGGCACCTGCATCTACCCCTCCACACGTGATCAGTCAGACTCTGATGAGTCAGCCTTCAGGCCACGCCAGGAAACAGAACTGACCACCAATCAGGAAGAAGGCTGTAGTCTGGGAGCTCAGCCCAAAGTCACCCCATGTCCCAACTGGCCACCTCTTCTGCACATCCCTCCGCCCACACTGGTCATCAGAATGTCAGCATGTCCCGTGCCTTGTCCCAAAGCAGAGTCCACTTGAGGGAGAGTTGGCCAGGCTTGGACACTGGCATCTGGGTGGACACTGGAACAGGTTCCAGGTCCACTCAGCAGCTCTGTGACCTTGGACAGAAAGCTCTTCCCCTGGGTGACTGTTCTCTATAGGTACTTGGGGAGGCAGCAGCTCTCGAGGATCGGGCTGAGCCATGGGAAACACCTTCAAGCATCTGCCTGGCTCATGTTCGGGCTCTGTAGAGGTCACGGTCACTCTGTGATGAGGGTGAGTCGAGGCCCACGCCTGCCACTCTCTCCCCACAGCCAGTCTTGGCCAGCATGTTGTGATCCTGCTCCTGCCTGGCCCCCAGTTTTCCGTGTGTGTCCCCCACCCCCGGGCAGCTTCCAGAGGCCTCACTGCTCTGCCTCCTGATGTCCATATATGGCAGTCTTGGCCCACTGAGGTGGTCCTGTGGAGGGGAGAAAGTGTCCCCCCAAGCAAGACTGCCTTTCTGACATCCCTTCCAGGCCCATCGGGTCCTCCCATTCTCCCTGTTTCAGTTGTCAGCCACGTTCCCTCCAGTGAGCCCCGGGCATCCTTAGTTCTGAGATGGGTAGGCTCAGCACATACCTGGTCAAGTGCCAGCTCCAGTGTTCGGCTGTTTCTCCTCAGGAAGAGACCCTTTTCCAGCAGTGACCAGGGAACCCTGACTTGTCACCTTTGCCTGGATAGGATAATTTACAGATGTGCTATACTCTTGCTTCAGATCCTCCTGGGCTTCAGAGAAGCCCATCCTGCAGGCCTTTGATTCCTTACAGCCCAATCAAGGCACCATGAGCCAGTTATCCCCCAGGCTGAGCCCTCTTGGGGACATGTGACTGCTGGCCACCACTGGCCATGCCTAATGATCTGTTTGGCTGCAGCCTGTCCTGCGGTAAGGATGGGCTTTCCCTGCCTCTCTTCCAATCTGACCTGGTGACTCGCCTACACTGCCCAAGGCACAGCTCTCCCACCAGGACACTGACTTCTGCATCTTTGGTTGTAAGCAACAAAATGGCGTTGGGTGCCATCACCAATCCATAGAGGTAGGGAGAGGAGGTGTGAGTGGGGCCAGAGCTGGGGCAGCTCAGAGGTGCAGGACCTACTGAGCCAGTGTGGGAGTGAGCTCCTGGGGGTGAACCAGCTGGCTGCAGAGGCTCCCGCCACTTGTTTTTGTTGTTGTTGTTTTAATGGTACCAGGGATTGAATCCAGGGGTGTGTAACCACTAAACCACGTGCCCAGCCCTTTTTGTAACTTTGAGACAGGGTCTCACTAAGTTGCTGAGGCTGGCTTTGAACCTGAAGTCCTCCTGAGCTGCTCAGCCACTTTCTTCATAGGGTTGAAGGCAGAGAGCACCTGGTGTTTCGGGTCATAGACGCTCCAGCCCCTGCTTCCTCCAGCGCTCACTCACCACCTCCTTCCCTGCTGTGCAGGCCCCAGGCCTCCCGGGTAAGGGGAGCTCAGGCGTCTTCTACAAGCCACATGAGGGTCACTGCAGCAAGAGAGCCAGCACAGTGGAGCACCAGAGCGAGGCTCCAGGGTCTAAAAATGAGCCCCAGGCCCAGAGACCCGCGCTCACTCCAGCTCAGCTGCCTGCTGGCTGTGTGCCTTGCTCCCATCCTTCAGCCTCCTCATGCCCCAAATGGCTTCCATAGTCCTCCTCCCTGTCTCAAAGCAGAATCCGCTCCAGGGTGGGCTCAGCCAGCTCCAGACACTGGCATCAGCCCTCTAGTTAAGGGCCAGCAGAGAGCTGGCTGCAGCCCAGTGTTTCCTCCGTGTTCCGGGGATGGTGAACAGAGGCTTTGGGGCCCTCTGGGGCCCTGGCCGTGACAGGCCTGAAATTAGACTTGGAGTTCCTAAACGGGGGGCTGTGGTAGTCAGATTTGTACCCCTCCATGGAGCTTTGATTTTAAAAAGAAGAAAAAGATTGCGAGCTCTAGAACTGTAAGAGCCTCAGGATGTGGCCTCTCGCGGACCCAGAGCTTGCTGGCTCAGCATCTGGCTGAACAGTCCCCTGCGGCCCCCTGGCCCATTGCTGGGAAGACACAGCCATGATCACGGGGCCAAGGGCTGTTTGGGAAGCGACATCAGCAGCAGTCATTGTCAAAGGAGGCATGTTGTGAGCGGGCCTTTCTGGATGGCCCCTGGTCCATCTCCAAAAGACCCAACCAGAGCTTAGGGAGCCAGGGGAGGGGGGGATTCTGGGGGCATCTCAAGGCCCAGCCCTACAAGCCCCTAAAAGAAGACCAATATGGAAAGGTAAAGTCTACAGACGAGGTGTCAGAGTAGAACAAAGTTGGGAAGGATGCACTGTGTCCCTTTTTAATTTGACTTTGAAACCATGGGACACGTTGTCCTTTGTCTGTGGAGTCATCACCACAGGGATACGTCTCCCGTCTTCACACCACAGATGAGCATTTTTCCTCAGTCCTGAATACACCAATCATTTCAAGTGATCAGTGTTTCAGATGGCAGGTGGTTTGGGCTGGGGAAGGTGGGGTGTGGTGTCTTCTCCCACTGTCTGTAAGCACAGGCCCTCTCCAGGAAGCCAGGGCACCCCTCCCATGGAGGGTCTTCCAGTGAGTGTAGCCTCTGCTCACGCCGACTCATGGGGCAGCCTCAGGTCTAGCCAGGGATGCCCGGAGCCACTAGGCCAGTTCACCTGAGCTGGTCCCTGCAGACCGTGAGAGGCACACTCTTGCTCACCCAAGGTCCACTCTTGCTTACACCCCAACTCCCCCCCCCCCAGCACAGACCTGGTCAGGGAGCCTACACTGAGGTTTCCAAGGATCCCTTGTATGAGAGAGTGGGACAGAGGCCCCAGCATTACCCTGTATGCATTTTAACCACCCATACTGCCAGATTGTGACACACCAAGGCTCCCAAGGGCAGAGCTGGGCCCCAGCTGGGTCACATGGTATAGGCCCAGCACTGGGGCATTAGAAGTCCTGTGCCCACAGAGCCGCTTCCCAGGTAGAGGCAGATGGTTTCTCCACAACGTCGGGGCAGCTATGGCCAGGTTGGACCCCTGTCTGTCCCAGTGGGAATGCCCCCGGGTTGTGGGTTGAGCTCCTGGGCCAAGACAAACACCCCACTGAGACTGCCCGACTGCTTCCTGTGACCTTCCAGGGAAGAGTAAATAAAGACAAGCAGGAAGTCACACAGTGATGCCCAGAAGAGAGGCAGAAATTAATAATCACACAGAGACCCTGGTGGATAGAGCCCCCCGGGAATTGAGGAATGCAGTCCTTGGCCCCCCATCCCGGGGCAAAGGGGGGGGGCAAAGCATTCCTCATGGCCACTGAGAACAAGGAAAGGAGGGCTGAACTCACTCAGGCAGGGAGCCCTGGTGGGCAGGAGGGTGGGCTGGACAGACTGACGGCTCCAGCACCTGGGAGAATTCCATCTTCATGAGGCTGTGAACCAGCTTTGGCTTCTGGTGGCCGGAATCCAAGTCCACTGTGGCTTTGGGGTTAGGGCAAGAGGCCCACCATTGCATACAGCCTGGTCTCTGTGGCACCAGGAAGCCTAGCCATAGAGAGGGCTCAAAAAGGAAAGGTGCTACTGGAGAGGGGTGGGCCGAGCCCACGGGGGTGCCAGGAGTCAGAGGTCAGAGCTAGCTCGGCTGTAAGGCTGCCCTGGAGCTGATAGTACATCCTGGTCCTGCAGAGCCCCAGGCTCTCCAGCCACTGGGTGGCCTGACACTGAGGCCTCCGCACTCCACCAGCAAGCACCCTCCCCCACCCTGCCCGTGCGCCTCCC